GGGGGGGGGGGGGGGGGGGGGGGGGTCACAGGGGTCAGCACAGCACACAGGGCATGCAGGGAAGAGGAGAGGGAGCAGATCTACGGCACAGGAACAGGAACAGCAGCAAGCATCTCACTACCACCGGCAAGCAGGGCCTGCTCCTGGGGTCTCGCAGGAAGGGAATGGGGGGGGGGGTTTTTTGCGAATGGGAAAAAAAACAGGTTGGCGGTGGATGCGGAAGGATGTTGCAAGAAGAAGGGAAAGGTGAATGAGGAAGTAGGTCACTTACAGTTGCTCAAGAGACACAAGCCCCTTAAATGCTTGTCTGTCAATTGATTGGATTTCATTCTTGTACAAATAGCTGAAAGGAGAGATATCAGTAGAATTAGTAACACACTCACACTGGATCATCTGAAGTCTCCCTGGTCATAATGAAAGAAAGAGAGGTTTAGCTTGATCAATGTGGAAATCAAAATGAATTCAGCTCTATGTTAAAGGCCCGATCCACTCCTCATTTCTTACTTTACCAGAAGTTCTCCAGGTTTTCTGAAGTTCTCCAGGTTTTCTGAAGGCCTCCAAACCTCTTCTCTGTACATAAACTACTTTATCATTCACTTTCTGTCCAGTCCTTGTACCCAATCATTTTTTAGAGGAATGTTTTTATCTATTTATTATGCTGAAAACTTGGGATGCCAAAAGAAGAAGTGTTAGGCCTAAAAGTCCATCCACAGATGAAGAGGAGCTGAAAGTGATGGAGAGACTCCAGCTGAGACCTGACACAGATGCTGAGAGATGGACCTCCAGCTGATCCGTCTCCTGTTGGCCAAAGGCTCATCAGAAATGCTCTCCATGGAAGGGAAACAGGGAGAAAAGGCTAAGCTCTGCCAAAGGACACAAGTAGTGGACTGAAGATCCAAAGAAGAGCTTTGGGACGTCCTTCAAGAAGCGTGGAGAGCTTCTCCTGAAGACTCCTTCTGAAGGCTTAGAGATGGAGGAGAAATTTTGACATCAAACTCTTTTCTGACTTTTATGCTGTTATGACACTTACGACTGCACATATTTCCAACTATTTAAAGAAATGAGGGTTGGATCGAGGCTTTTGCAGAGTACGGAGCGCAACATTTTGACTACAGACACATCAAATAATCAGAGATAATAAGAATGACAGGAGCATCAAAGAAATATCAGCCTTCATCAACAGAAAAATGTCAAAAAAGTGTCTCCACGGTTCATTCAGCTTCACTTTGTAATGTGAAAGACAGCGAAGTCATCAGAGGCAGGAGCAGATCACACAGCTTCTCTGCTTTCCATAATACGCATTAAAGAAATGTGCGATGGCTTCCAGCTGTGTGCTCTTTCAGCTCATTTTTCACCTTCCACCATGATGAGAGATTCAGACCTCCACTCAACACCAGAGCCCGGATTTGTTTTTTTCTCAAAAGAAACAGCTCTCATCTGGAAACACGGAGACAGGCTGAACTCAGAGCTCTCACACGTCTACCAGGTCATTTTCTGACTGTTTGCAAAGAGAATCATGTTTAACCCAAAATCCGACAGAGGGGGACAGGTTAGCTCCGCCCACTCTGAGATCCAGAGGTGGAATTCCAGGTGCCGAATGCTTGAGCATGCCCCGACGGGAGCTGGAATAGTTAACAATAGCTAATCTGTAGAGTAATCAAACCCAGCTACTTAAAGACGCGTTGACTGGAGTGCTCAAGATGAATGTGATTCACATTTCTGACATTCTGCCTTTTAAAGACTATCGATTCATTAAGATGACGTTATAGGTGTGAGCCAGTAGGGAGAAAATATGCTGGACTTAAACACAGTGTACATTTCTGAAATGACATAAATAAATAAATAGATAAATAAATAAAAAAATAAATGAATGAATGAATGAATAAATAAATAAATAAATGAACGAACGAACGAACGAATGAATAAATAAATAAATAAATGAACGAACAAACGAATTAATGAATAAATAAATAAATAAATAAATAAATAAAGTCATTATTAATGTAACCAAACTGATGTGGATGTTTACGGTGAACATCCTCCATGTGTTTTTCCCCCCCTCCTTTGTTTTCCGGGAGTCCTGCTCTTACTTTGAGTGAGAAATGGCTCCCTGTCCGGCTTTTCCTTTAAAGAAACATGCACTCTGGGTCACTGCGGGCCAACACAACCTGAGGGACCGAGTGTTAGGCCAGGCCTTTAGTGTTGTGTTTACAGGCCTGTCGTATATTCACTCATCACACCACTGCTGGAGGAGCTGGGGGGGGGGTTTAATAGACTGATTTTAACGGGTTTAAGCGAGTTGGTTTGGGAGTAAAAACAGCACGGGAGAGCAAACATTGGCCTGCAGTGTGAAGGACTAAGATGCATGAGGGTTTGAAAGCGACCCCCAGCGTGATGGTTGTTCTGAGCCTTTTAACCAAAAACGCCCCCCCCCTCACAGCCAGACTCTTTCATACAACAGCTCAGGACTCACTGGTGGCTCTTTTATCCTCTAAATCCACTTTGGTGCTTTGCAGATGTATTAGTCATAGGTCAGAAAGTTTTGAAGTGATAGAAAATGAAGCCTATGTCCTGAGTCTTTGGCCATTTAAGTCAATTTAAAAGATATATAGCTGAATTCATTAGTAGCTATACACTATTACACTATTACACTAAAATGCAAAAAAAGGAGACATTCTTTTTTTCAACTAAGTTCTGACTGTATAATGAAATGAATGTATGAAATAAAATTATGCACAGGCATTAGAGAGTTAAACTGCATGAACTTTTTATAAGTGCGCTTCCTAATGTCCATGGACTTCTGACCGGTAAATATCTGAACATCTGTGTTGTGCATCAACATTCCCAAAAACAAGAGCTGTTTGAGCTGACTAGGAAGGTGTTCGTGGGGGGGGCTTATCTTTGTTCGGCCTGTTTGTGGAGCTGCTTGTAGCACAGTCATCCACCCACAACTCAGGTTTTAAGGCCATCAAAGAGGACAAGTAGTGGGCTTTACTCAGGTCCAAAGGAAGCGAGGAGGTGAGATGGGGGGGTGCAATCTAACCCCCACCTGCAACCCACTGAGTCAGCAGGAAGGGGGGAAGGGTGGAGGAACACCTTCCCATGATCACAAAGGCTGGGAAAAGGCTCAGGCTTTAGATCAGCTGGGCTTTTTAGTGAGCTGCTCTCTGTAATTAAAATAGTTACAAAACAGCTCCAGTATTTAATTACAAATGGGGTGGGTGGGGGTGGGGGTATGTCAGGAATGTCCATGTTTGTGTTTGAGTCCACTGAGGAGGGGAAAACACAACGGCCCCTATCTCCATCTATTCTTCGGGACTGGAGATGGAGGAAATGGGCTCTCCGGTTATTTTCGGGAGCTGTTTGGGTTTGGGTCAGAATTCACCTAAACACGTCAACAGCTGTCAAACAACCCTAAACTTTCTGATCTGAAGTCTGAGTTCGTTTTAGTTAACTAAAACATGCACTCCTGGTGGCCACGTTAGGAGAAACTTCTAGAAAGTCTAATGGAAATCTACTACTAAACTTCCCTTTGGGGATGAATAAAGTAATCATCTATCTATCTATCTATCTATCTATCTATCTATCTATCTATCTATC